CAAAAATGATAAGTTTCTTTATTTGAAAAATCAATTCGAGCTTTCGGGCGCAAGCTGCCCTTCTACAGGAATAATGAATACAATTTATAGAAGGGCAGCTTGCGCCCGAAAGCTCGAATTGATTTTTCAAATAAAGAAACTTATCCTTTTTGAATCTATTTGTTATTAAAATTATTGAAAGGATTATATTCGTCATAAAAGAATTTCGTAATATTTTATTCATCCAAAGGCTATTTTCCAGATTTTGAACAGACCCCAAAACCCAGATATTTTAACGTATTTTAAAACATTATTTTAATATTTTCGAGGGCCCTTATTATACCTTTTTGTCTAATATTTTGTGTAATATCGAGAAGTTTATCATAAATATAAAATTTCGCTCTTGTTTTGTTTTCAAATGATGCAATGTATGTCCGTGAAATTCTTAATAATAAAATGCAAAAAGTTAATATTACAAAACTAATCAATTTCTTTTAAAAAGTTTGTATTTCATCCCAATATATATGCATCACAAAAGAGGAATCTTATTCTATAAAAATGCATTAAAGTTGGTAAATGAATACCACATCCTCCTGTGCCAAACTTCATGTTATATATACATAAATATTCGTAAAATTACGAATTTATAAATTAATAGAATATAATATTTACATATAAACATTTTGATGTTTTAATTATTGAATAACCTCTGCAAAATTTATGAAAATATTATAGCCAAATGTCTATTTAAGGTTTTTTTTTTATTTCGCTCTAGTATTAAAAAAAGAGAGAAAAATAAATTCATATAATTCTTCCATTTCTGTTAGTTAAACATTATTTACTTTTGACAATTGAATTATGGATCCATCCGATATTTGAAATCGGTTAGGAAGATGTTTGGCTGTGATATATTTCGGTAGTTAAAGGAATAACCTTGAGAAAGATATGTGAGCGGTCTGAATTTTAAAATATTGGTTTGGATTAAAATCCATTTTAAAGTCCAAGCAAAACTCCGAGTCTAGAGTGTACTTACTATGGGTTTCACTATTTTCAGAAAGAAAAACACTAAATAAATAGAATGAGAATAAAAAAGGCATCTTCTTATCGTGCAACTGAAGAACTGAACATTCAGTTGCATGATAAGGAGATGCCTTTTTTATTTTCTTAATTTATGAACCTTATCCCAGTACAATATCACATTTGTACTATTTGTTCAAATACAACTGAAGAACTCCCCCATTACCTGCTTAATTATACAGCCCTTGATGAAGAAAGGAAGGCCCTATATCAACAAATTAAATATACCAACATTTCACCCTACGTATTGCTTTCAAAAATATCAGCAAACAAATCTAAGGCAATAGCTTACTATAAATGTTTTAGATCATCATTATGTAAGGACCAGTCAACAATTGAATGACTTTGAGACGAAGAGTAAAGCCAGTTCAATTTCTATCTTACTACCTATGTATAAATAACACAAGATGATTATTACCTTACCCAATTGGGAGAATCTGTATGGGGCAAGTCTCTAATAAAGGATTTTGTGTGTGTGTGTTTGTTCAAATACACAAGTAGAATAAGCTTTATCTCAAGAGTCGTTATCCTCTACACATTAAAGTCATAATAATATTTTCTTCTTAATAGGAGATGTTATGATGCATTATAGCGCGCCATCTGTTATGAAAAATCGAAACTATTATAGACGCGTATGATTCTTTTAAAAATAAAACAATTTCTATAGCCCTTACTGCAATGGAATTAATTTTTCCATTGCAGTAAGGACAGTATAAATTGTTTATTTTTAAAAGAATCATACGCGTCTATAAGAGTTTCGAATTTTAATAATAGAAGATGTACAAAGAATAATTTATATGTAATGTATTTTGCAAAAATATTATCTTGGATTTGATGTAAAAATAAAAAAGCAGCGATATATAATTTAAAGCGTGAACGTATGACTTCAAAGAAATATCCAAAATACTTTTGACACATGACTAAGTTCATTAAATTCTTGTTAGGGTGAAAGTTAGTAAAACTTAATTTCTATTTTCCTATACATCCATACCTCATAAAAATGATATGAATTATGAATATGTTATTATTTAAAATACGTTTAAATTTAAATATACATATAGAAAGTAATTATTTTATGATGAATTATAGCGCGCCATCTGTTATCAAAATTCGAAACTATTATAGACGCGTATGATTCTTTTTAAAAATAAACAATTTCTACTGCCCTTACTGCTGTAATTCTGCTGTCCTCAGGGCTTATGTCCATAGTTCATCTAAAATACCCATTCCAAGAGTCTAGCATCAGTATCACTATAAAAAGAATATCGAAAATTGAAATATAACAGCGGTATGGTAGATTAAACTGACGAAACCGCTGGGAGGGTTCACCACTGATGAGCCAGACCCTCCCATTAATTTTTCCATTGCAGTAAGAAGTGTAAATTGTTTATTTAAAAAAAATCCATACGCGTCTATAATAGTTTCGAATTTTGATATTAGAGAGTAATAAATATTCTCTACCTAATAACGAACACCGCGTGATTCTGAATAATTCAGATGGAGATATTGTTCGGTACAGGAAGTAAGGTTCAGTTGTACAAGATATAAAAATAAATGCTCCGATGGCTCCCGATTCTTGCAAAAGTCCAACCCCACCAGCGAGTGCAAGTAACCAAACGGGGCTCTGGCACATTTGTAAGTGCAAAGTCGAACTGCTTTCCACATGTGTAAACATGTGGTGCACTTACAGTAAAAGCAGTCGCCTACTTTACCCAACATGATTATCATGAATTGTACCACGTATACTAGGGATAAGAAATAAAAGATGTTATTTTCCATTTAGCCGCTACTGAAAAGGGCAATAGCCAGAAACCATGGTATACAGAGTCGCTTTTGTCTGAAATTGCCAAAACTGATGTTGCGGCTCATTCTTTATCATCAACAAAACCTTCTGTCATTTGGTGATAAGTCAAAATTAATTTAAATGCATTTTAAAGTGAAGAGAGGCATCTTTTGGTAATTTTGATGTATATGTATTCATATATTATTCTGTAATATTTAGAAATCTATTTCTTCAGCGGTTATATTACTACTAACTCCTTTTAAGGATCTCAAATCCTTTTAGTTCAACCTATAATTGCAATCTCCATATTTATTTATCTATTAGATAATAAAAAGGCATATATTGGATTTTAAAAATATTTAATTGCCAATATTACGGTTGGCTGAACGCCAAACCTTTATCAAGGCGTTGCATTTTTGTACAAACAAACTCAGCGCCGCATAGTGGTATAATATCACAGTTGAAATCATTTTAAAAATACAAAGTAGGTGGGGGAAATTTGCGCATGTAAAAATTATTATAAAAGTTACAATCAGAATAAGTTAAATATCTTAAAATATTAAAGTGAAAAAAAAGAGGTTTATCTTATATTTTAAAATATTTGTATATCTATATGAAAGTTTTCAACATATATTTAAAAATATATATATATTTTTTTTAATTTCATCATAAATTCCTGACTAGCCGGCAATTCAGGTGACAAATGGTTAGATACCATTTTTATCTTTTAACGTATATTTTAGCGATTTAAATGTTCTTTTTATCGCTAATTATTTTATTTTTATGATATCGGGCTATATATATATTTTCTGAAATATGCCCAATTTTATATTTACAAGCGATTTTAAAATGAATAATAGAACAAATAATGATTCAAAATTGTTCATACAAGGTAAATCCAAATTACACTGAAGAAAAAACCCCAGGAAAATAGGTTATACATATGAAAACTATATAGAAAAATGTTTTATAAATATTTTGTTTGTAATTGAATATTTAATGTGATAGAGCCTTTACAAAAATCATTAAATGATTATTTTTTATTCAATACTATTAATAATATTAGTATCTTAATTATATATTTATATTTCACCTATATCCAGATGTAGTTTTGCCACAATATAGAATTAAGTCTGGAAGGGAGGATAATTTTCATAGTACGTAATCTGGAATATGTACTCAGTATAATCCCAATAATATATTTACCCGATAGTATAGGAGCTCCATCTATTATTCCTTTATTCCGATATTCTAGGGTTGGAAAATGATGAAAATATATTTTTAACGGGTTATAACTATCGGATTCAAGTTGCTTTTGTGGTATTGAGGAACAAACCTCAAGACATCTACTGATCGATTGCCCAGCATTTCAAGATTATAGAATGAAGAATGAACTAGTTGTTTGTGAACTTAACGATTTGATTTCCGATAAAAAAATCATATTTAAAGTTCAATACATTTTGTAAATACATTCTAAACTTTCTACAAAATCTGGATCTCTAATGTTTTCATGCGTTGAATAATGTAAATAACTTATGTAAATAAACTTTTCTCCTTGTTTGGCGCAAGTATCCCTTGCGGGGAAATAAAATATTTGTAATTGTAATCTATTATTCCTTCCTGTGGTGAATCTGTATAAGACCGCTTGTCTTATTATAGCTTTGTGTGTATGTATTTATCCGATAGTTATAATCCTGTTTAAAATATATTTTCACATCATTTTCCAACCCTAGAATATCGAGTAAGTGTATCACGCTGTATGGACAATTTTAAAATCATATTGGCGGGCAGTCAATGTGTATTTCAGATTTAGAAAATGATTCTTTCCGGATATCTAACTTTTATATTCTGGCTTCCTCTCTAGATAGGTCAAATACAATAGGTTAAGTACAAAACTTGTACGTATTCAAAACTAGACGAATGACCCGGCTTCGCCCGAGAATTCCCCCGAGTGAAATTTCCTTCATTATGAAAGTACATCAATAATAGTAGAAGTGCCATAGAATAGCAATACAGAAGTAACACATAAACTACAGGCAAAAAAGTGTGGCATTGGTTCAGTAGTTTTTGAGTTTATCGCGAAACAGACAACAGACATTGACTTTTATATATAAGATAATAATAATATAAATGAGTTTTTAAAATTGTAAAAAAAAAAAAATGCATCGGCCGGGAATCGAACCCGGGCCGCCCGTGTGGCAGGCGAGCATTCTACCACTGAACCACCGATGCTTATAAGAAATTGCCATATTTGGGTATTTATTCCATTCACAAAAGCAAACGATGACAGAATTGATTGTTGATGACTCTGATACTTGTATATTTTAATATCAAATAGAGCTAGAACTAAGACAATGATAAAAAATCTTTCTATTTGTTATAGTAAACAAACCCAGGTTGGGGTTATACAGAAGATCTTCTCCCCGACTTGTTCCTTCTATCACGAATAGGGATATCATGGTTGTATTATTTATAGATATATTATCGTATAGATATATTTATCGTGTCATTTTATAACTTTTATAAAGGCTTTATAACATTATGTATTCAAAAAGACAAAACTTTTATAGAACCAATTATTATTGTGGTTTTGTATCTCTAATTTATTCCTGGGGTTTGTGCGTCAGTGTATTTTGAATGCAACCTTCTGTATGAAGAAGATTATTAATAAAAAAGAGTTTGGATGAATAAACCAATAAAAATTAAAAGTCCTTCGGTCTCAAGATTTCTCTACATTGAGAGAGATTCTTTCTTTGTAGACCGCGAAATGCATGGTGTCGCTATTCTCCACCAAACTCTGCAGCGGTGTCAGAGGCGCCATATTCATTGTATATAGTTGTATATAACTAATATTTATTTTGAAACAATAGTGCAGGCTGTGCTCTTTTGCATGTATTGACAAATTGTCAATAAGATTTTGTTAATTGTTAATTGTCCATATCGAGAATGTTGCATTGGTGTACCATTGCCAGTGAGATTGTGACAGGAGCTGGTAGAGACAAAATCTCTAAGGAAATATATCCAGTGCGGCGGCTTATTTACCAGGTCGGGCTGAAGATTGATCTGGCACCCCGCCCTCCGTGCTCTCTCCCTGATTACTCCAACCTCCCTCTGACATCACTCCGACACCATTCTTTAATCACGGCGATTTCTAAATATTCCAACTCTTTTGGCGCACAAGTACTGGAGGGATATTGCTTCTTCATTTTTATTACCATATTCTGATTATTAAGCTAATTATTTCAGAGATGGCAATAGGATATAGATTTTTTTTTCTTCTTCTAGGAAAAACTCCCCCACAGACTCGACTTCAGCATGGAACTGATTCCACCCATCATTCTACTCAGTCTACAGTTAGAACTTCTAAGCGTTAGTTTGTACCAGTGAGCTTGACAGTTGGCGCTCCAGGAACCCGGGTTATCTTTATATCTCTCTTAGATTTCTTATACACAGAGAGAAAACAGGTTGTTAGGTTGCATACAAAAATGATAACAATGAATTAGGAACCAGAATGACAATATATACATAAGTGTTTTGAAAATAGAGCGATCCATAAAAAATCTTCAAATAAAAAGGCATATTTTGGATCAAAATATAGGTAAAATAAATTATATTTTGATCCGATATATGCCTTTTTATTTAGAAATACATAAGAGTGTGTATTGTAAACGTGTTTCTTATTCTTCTGCCTCCAGTGGTGTCCAAACTCGGCTAGCAATAGTTGTGAAGTTTAGCCCACACAGACCCAGTTTTGGTCAAATCTCAACATTTTGATTTCCCCCTCAACTTATAATACCCCAAAAATATGTAATGGTGGCACATATCCCCAGTACGCCATGATCATCATGGTGGGTAGTAAGCAACTGCCTTTACTGTAAGTGTGTCGACACATGTAGAAAACAGGTCGACTTTCGCACTTACAAGTGTGCCGTTTGGTTACTTGCACTCACTGGTGGGGTTGGACTTTAGCAAGAATCGGGGGCCATTGAGGTACTTTTTTTTCAGAAAAAAGAGCCAAATGCGGGATTCGATCCCAGATCTAGGCTGTCGAAAATCAACGTTGCTTATACCACTTGTCCCCCGGATATAATGTTGGCGACTACTTCTCTTCAGTAATTGTTCAAACAGTTCAACAACAATTTGGGAACTTGACTTTTATGAGGAACTAGAGCCGGGCCTGCGACGTTTCATTTACACCACACTAAACATTTTGATTCATTATCTTTAATGTCAAAGTATAAGCGTTTGGAAAAGCACGGAATATATATATATCAGGAAACAGGTTAAATCAATGTTTAGTTGATTTCTGTTCCACTAGATGGCGCTCTACCATCTAAAAAGCACATGTTCTCCAGGTCAGGATATGCCTCTTTTATTTTTAATATCAACACCTGACCTTTTTATGTTTTATTTTTTATTTTTCTAATGTTTTTTTTCATATATATAGTCAATCACGGGTGGATAATACGGAAGCTATATATAGTCGTAGTTGCACATTTCATTAGGTATATATGCCTTTAAACGGATTAATGTCTATATCAAAGTGAGAGATTAGAGGATTAGCCCACAGTCGCTCATCTAATCTATATCCAGATACTAAGCTTGTTTATTCAACTCTATTCAGCATACACTCATGGACAAAACTTAAGGAAGTTGTACCTTTTAGCATTATTTCGGAGTTCAGACAATAACTCTGAAAGATATTTAATACACAGTGACCTATATTGAAGACACACGAGATAACCATGTGTAAAAAATTGCCTCTGTCTCCTTCAAAAAACATATGACCGGCGACATCAAAGACTTTCTACCTACTTAAGTTTTGTCCATGAGTGTAGATGAGATGTATGCACGGGAGAACCAATAAGTGGGCGAACACCGTATAAAGCGATTAAGTCGCGGTGTCTTGTAGTAACTGTGATGGAACCAGCGTACTGGGGGGACAGTATGACCTTTATGTGACATTGTACTTACAACTATACTCCTGAGTAAAGTTTAGTGTGTCACATCTACTGATATAAACTGTCATCATCTTCAATTGTTGAGTAAAACCAATTTCCTCTTTCACCTACAACTACAGCAATTTATATCATGGTATATGCTATTGTGATGACTAGCCGTCAGTATGTCGCCATCTTGTGTCACCAAATGTGTTACGGGAGGTAGAGCCCAATATCTATTTAAAATATCGAGTCTGACATCACACAATACCCTAAAAATAAGGAACCTGGAAGAACGCGCGGAGGCTTTGGAGAGACGAGCCCGAGAAAACAACTTAATAATATACGGCATTGAATCAGCAGAGACTGACAGTCGGGAACTGCTGCTACAAAAGGTCAAGAAGTTAATGGCGGAAGATATGCAGATTACCGATGATGTGGTAATTGCCGAATGTCATCGCCTGGGCAGGGGACCAAAGGCGCCTATTCTGATCGAGGTTCCTGATCACGAGTCCAGAATAAGTCTCCTAAAGAACTCATTCAAACTTCGAATGCTCAATATTTTTGTGAGCAGGGATTACAGCCCCCAGATTAGAGAGCAGAGAAAAATCTTGATAGAAAAGAGAAAGGAACTTTACAAGAAGGGTATAGGATCGAAGTTGAGGGATAATAAACTTCTCCTAAACGGCATCAACTACATGGTAGTGGAGGGACAGGTGATGAATGCCAAAGGAGAACTAATATAGCTAGAGGCACACCAGCGGATCTCTGTAAATAGATGTAAATACTCAGGTAATAAAATACATACAAATGAAGATGTACAATCTAGAAACAAATCTCAACTTACAGAAACTCCTCATACTTCACATAGCAAGACTCATACTATTAAAGAAAGTCAACTTAAGGGCACAAATCTGAAACATAATAAAATTAAGATCAAAAAAATAAATCCAATGGTTGACATAGCTAAAAACGAACGATTCATGTATTGGAATATAAACGGCTTTTTTAGGATAAATTCTCTCTTTCCACTGTTTGAATATTTGAAACAATTTGAGATGTTCGCGCTTACAGAAACTTGGTGCCACTTCAATATCGACTTGAATCTGGCGAACTTCGGAATGTACCAATCACCTGCTGTAAAGTCATCAGATAAAGGGAGAGGCTCCGGAGGTATAATTCTCGGCATAAATAAACAACTACTGCCCCAAATTGACAATGTTGAAATCGAAACCTCTTGGATTGCAGTCACACTCAATCCAAGTTTAGACAATGACTCACCAGCGATCTGCGTAATATTCGTATATCTACCCCCAAACGATACGCATGCTACAAAACTTGGACGACTATTTCATTTGATGGAAAATAAGATATATAACGGGTTTGAAATAATACTGGTCGGCGACCTGAATGTCCGTATTGGCAATCTGGGGGGTTACCATAATTTGATAGATACTTCAAACCTTTTTTCAACCACCCGAAATTCCTGTGACCTAACAAAATCTGCCAAAGCGGAAATATTTATTGAATTTCTTGATAAAAATCACTTAACTATAATAAATGGTAGATCCATTAATGATAAAAGTGGTAAATTTACATTCATCTCCGGAAGAGGCTCTTCTGTGTTAGATCTGGCGATTGTCTCACCTGCGGTGCTTGAACACATAGCAGATTTTGAAATTGGTTGTATGCCATATTCGGATCACTTACCAATAATTTTAAAGTTTATCGGCCCTAATAATAAAACTGAAAATTGTTACATGGAGCCTAAGGCCAAAATTAAATTTTCCTGGTCAGTAGATAAAATCCCAACATATATAGAAACTTTAAAAGAATTAACTCCCGAACATCCAGCGGACTCCACAATTGATACTCAGGCTGAGAATTTTACTGGTTTAATTCAAACAGCAATGTTACGCTCGGGGACGCGGATGGAGGCAAAAACAAAAAATATAAAATCTAAGCCATGGTTCGACAAAGACTGTTATTTGGCTAAAAAGGAAATGAAACAAAATCTAAAATTATACGTAAAACATAATATCTCGGCCGATAAAATTGCATACTTGTCGAGTAAGAAGAAATATTCAGCTATCCTAAAGCTCAAAAAAAGGGAATATACTGACAAAATTCAAGTTATCCTCAGTAATGTAAAAGATCCTTCCCAATTTTGGAAGACTATTAATTCACTTAAATATAGGAATAACCTACAAGGTGAAATTTCTACTGCAGACTGGCAAGTCTTCTACCGGGAGTTACTTGGTTCAAATTTAACAAAAGTTGTACAGTTACCAC